ACACCTTTTCTTTTTCAAGCTAGCAAAGTAGTTTCGTTACTTAAAATTTTTAAGCTCTTTAAAGAAGTACAGCTTTTTAACATCTTTTTTTTAAAGTAATAACCTTTTTTTACGTAGGCAATTGCCTCTTACCAAGATTTTTGGGATTCTTTACAAGTGCTGGATAGTCAGACTTGGGCACTTACATGTTAATTTCCTTTTTTTTCTTTTTAAAATTTATATAAAGGTCGTCGAGCCAATAAAGCCGACTTTTGCTGACCGACACCGCCGGATTGCTTTAAGTAAGTCTATTAATTTTCCATAGATAGAGCAGGCCTGTGTTATTTTTAAACCTATATAACCCCAAAATATAACTATTGGACATATAATATTTTCTTCGATAATAAATTTTTATTAAAAAAAACTTAAGTCTTAACTTATACCGCACTAAAAGAATTTTTTTTATAAAAAAAGAAAAGCAACGCTTTCTTCACGTGGAAATTGACCCCAAGCTCCCCAGAAACATTCCCGTTGTGCACTTTTCCGGCCCCGAAGCAGAAGTCGTGCAGTTACGGCAAAAGTTTTTTGAAAATGCCTACGCTTGGTCGACCTACGCACACCGATAGTAGTGTTAGCCGGCTTAACTCTCGCCCACGTGCAGGCGTGGCGAGGAAAGTCTATACAATAACCTTCAGCAAGTATTGCAGGAGGAGTTACCTTTAAAATCTTGCGAAAAGGAAGTAAATCTTAGCAAGGACTGCGGAATTTGCTACTCATTCTACCTGGAGAATGCCGTCCCCGACAAAGTGAGAAAAGCATAACGTGCTAGTCAGCACCTTGGAATAATGCGGTGACTGGCAGATTTGTGAGTACGCGGGATGTCGCCAAGCATTTCACCCACAATGTCTCTTGGAGGTCGTCCGGCTAATACTGCAACTAAACCATTGTATGAGCCCGTGTTGATCGGTCCCCTATTTAATTTAGTGGTTAAAGACTTCTTCAACGACGCAACGGCGATTTCATATGTTTTTTGGAACGTGTCCTTACTGCGAAAAGGTAATTTAAGGCAATCTTTCGCTTTTAGTCTTTTTAATTCGATAATCTAGCAAATAAGTCTCAAGATGTTTTAAAAAGGGATTGAATACTCCTAAAATTCGCCTAAAAAAGGCTAATAATACTTTTGGTTGCCCTAATAACCGTGTTTTATTTAAGTACTATGTGGAATTGTCAGGTCGAAAAGGGACTGCTACTTGAGCTTTGACGTCGCTTTTTTCTTTTTTCATAAAACTTCTTTTTTGATTTCTTTCTCCTTTTTGCTTTGCGGTGTAATACGGACTTGTGCTGCTTGGAGCTCCCAGTAAACCAGACGCAGAGCCTTATAATAAACTTACAATACTGCCTGGGTCGTTTACAAGCCGCAGCAACTTTTCTTTCAGCGACGATGCGTGCTCTTGTCCTCTTTTTCGCACCTACACGTTGAATGCGTCACAGATCAGAGGAAAACACGCTGCCGGCAGTAAAACTTTCTCCAACAGTATCCCTTCCAGTCTCTCCAGTTTCTGGGATGTCGATGCATTCTGGGGGCACAGCGCTCGAGATTTCAGCAGAAGGTCCACGGCTGCCCTCAAGTCGCCCCTATCTTCTTGTCGGCTGGCCTGCACCTCATAAACGCGAGCTAAATATCTTTGTCAGAAAAAAAAAAGTTGGGTCGAACGCCAAAAAAATAGTGAAAAGTTGACTATAAAAGAACCTTTTTGCGTTAGTGTGAGACTCGTCAAGATGCAGAGCAGCTTTAAAGTCCTTCTCGGCAGCTTTAAAGTCAAACTGGCTGGCGTGTCTGCATGCAAGTGAGCGGAAGACTATTAATATTAATAACAAAGAAAGCGTACAAGGCCCCACGAGCCACAAGGGCATCAGCGTGCTCTGGCTCAATTTCTTTAAAAGATAACAGCAAGGAAAGTTAAAGGCTATGAAATTTATGCTACCAAGAGCCTTTAAATAGTAGCCCAAGGCAGCTTTCGCGTCATCGCTCTTAAATCTCTCAACGCCACTTTTTACGCTTGCAAAGAATGCCTTGATATGAGTACCTCGCAAAGTTGAAGATCAAAAAGGGTAAATGTACCACTCATTGGCGTAATCCATGTTTTGACGTTTCCGCAGTTCCTCAAAGGAGTCTTCTTTTAGGTATTCTTTCCTTGTAAAGATAGTTTAACCTTAAAAAAAAGACGTCTGGGTGTAAATAAATTAAAATGGACTTTGACTCTAGCAGGAAGGTGTCCTTTTCTCTGCAGACTTGTAGCGTTGACAAAAGTTCGCTGCAATACAAAGAGTTGTGGTAATCATGTGAACGTGTTAAGGTTTCCTGGTATCGCTCAAAATCCCTATTCAAATAAGGTATTTCTTGTAAGCGAGCATCGTAACAATACAGTAAAGATATGAAAAATTTTAATAAATATAACTTTTATATAGAAACGCGTTTTAATAGTAGAGAAAGAGTGCAAGCTGAGGTACCTGTAACAAACGTTGTAATCCAAACAGTGAGTAAAAAAACCCTCCATGAGAAAGATAAAAGAGTTATCAGCGTTACAACCTCCTTAAAGTTCTATTACCAAAGGAAGAACGCTTCGAGAATCGAAATTAGTGACCCAAATTTCCAATCTTTCCAATTCGTAATAAATAATGGAGCCTCGATTAATATTCGAAGGAAGTAACTTATTAGGCGAAAGTGGCTAACGTTAGTGAAAGAACCCCTAAAAAGATCTCCTGGCTCACTTTGTTCTAAAAATTTTTTGTGTACGCTAAAGTTTGCCCGAACTTCTGATAAATCATTACAAATGAATATCTGCTTTAAAATTTAAAAAGAAGACTATTAAGTCGCACAGGTATATATTGCTTGTTACTTTTATATTGAGGCCTTCTAAGTCGTTAACACGGCAAGGGCGTCTAGAACTTGAAAAACCAGTTTTTTCACTACAATTCGAAATTCCGCAAGCACAAATCGGAAAAATTTCAAAAATTAAAGCTGATAAAGTAACGTCCCACAAATTATCCTCAATAAAGCCTTCAACTAACTGGCCTATGTGAAGACGCTGAAGAAAAGAAAGAAAATAAAAAAAAACTCTGGTTGTAAATGTTATAGAATTACATTAAATATACGAGGTATTCTTTCCTTCGAGCTAAACTTTAAAAAAACGTCAAGAGAAGGAAGCCAGTCCCAAGGTTTTCCCCAAAAGTCAATGTGCTCAAGATCAGGATCGGTGTTTTTAAAATTTTGACACGAAGGCAAAAAACTCTTGTATCTTGAACGAAAATTAGATAATCTTTCTCCTAATGATAGATCACCTACAGATCCTTGTTGCATTATTAGGCGTGCATGTGTTATTACTAACTTTTAAAAATAATTAGCTAAAATAGACCTACTAAACCAAAACTATTGCTCTACACGCTCACGTCGTTAATAAGTAAAACTACAAAATTTACTTAGTCGAGGGTTAAAGTTAAAAACTTTACATAAAGACACATGACATAAACCTCTGTGAAGTATGGTGGTTTTGCAACGTTATACAACTAAGTTACCCTTTGGAAGTCTGTGCATCTAAATTTAACAGAATGAAATGGAGATTTAACAATATTATTAAACTTTATTTGGAATAAATGTCATAGGAACGAGTATCCCTAGTGCATGAGGTAAGTAATGCCGTCTCAAAGGATAGTCGCCTTTCGACGAATATTGATATGTTTAATGTATAATTGAACTACTTGCCTATCTACGCCGAGGATAACCTTTGCGAACTAAAATTATTCTTCGAGACCTGTTTACGACGTCCGTACCTTTAGAGAGCACCTTAGGGAGGCGCCATGTTGGATTGAGTGCCGTCCCGACCATCGAACCGTATACCCTTATAACGCATTATTCACATTGACCGGGGCAACCCGTGGAGAGATTGCGTTTCTTGCCTGACGAGCTGACGCTGCCAATCTACGAAAATTAACGCCTAATTATTTGCTCATTAGGGCACTAAATTAACTACCCTAGCGCAATTTATGAAGTCTTTATGGCACACTATTTTCGGTATTAGGTAAGTTAACTAGGCAGGCAGGTAACTGGTGGCAAAATTCCCTGCGTGAAGACACACAGGTTACTGAAAGCGGAACAAGGCGAGCGTCTTTCTGTACCATGCAAGCCGATCCCTTACCATTACCCTTTTTGACCGGAGGAAGACAGTGAGACTACGTATCAGAGGGGCGGGCAAAGAGAACTCGATATCATAGTAACAATTTTCTGCCCTCTTTAGGTAAATGTCAACCTTTTGGCGTGGTAAGAATACCTATTGAGCACCACAAATCTTTCCTTGCACATTAATGTAATTTTAACAACCACTTAGTTAAAAAATTTAATTCATGTCAACCCTGATAACTCTAGCAAACTATGGTAAAATATAAGTCATCATATTATATTTGGATATCTTTTTTAATAAAACACTTCCTCGATAGTCTACCATGACCGTTGAAACCTAAAGTTTTTTTAACTCATAATACTTAAGAGCAATAAAATTTATTTTTCATAACTACGCTTATAGAAGCTCCTACATGTACTTTCAATATATAGTAAAAATAGTAACAGTTATTTATAAAGAAGTTGCTTAATATACTAAAAATTGGTCACTAACCCAAAATATGCGTGCTGCACTATTAATTGCAAAAACGCCTTTAAAAAACGAAAAAGAGATGTGCAATAACCCTAACCGAGCTATATAAGTGCATAAATACTATTCTAACTGCGATATTGTTTAATTTCTTGGTCATTAGTATTACGACCTCATGACCGTAAGATTCTTTGAAGATAGTAAGCGCCCCCAATTTAATTCTTTTAGAGCTAATATATAGATAATATTGAAGAAACAAAAAATTAAACTTAAAAAAAGCTTAGAGCAATTTTGAAAAAAAGACAACTAGGAATGTAGTATATAGGGAGCGAGCTTATATACGAGCCATGGGATGGGGAACGTTACCGGAGCCCACTTAGAGAAAATTTGAAGAAATTATCGATTCATGACTGGAATGTACTTGGGCTGCGATTACTTCCGCTTGAGAGTTCGACCATTTTAAGTTTTTAACTCGATAAAAGTCCCGAAAAAGTTATATATTAATGAAAAAAACAAACCTAGAGACCCAAATGTTTTCTTAATGACTCAACCCTCATTAATATAAACAATACAGTTAAACCGAGCTTTTACTAAATGGGCTTGGAGCCTTAAAAAAGGTTGAGGATCTACTATTACAAGTTTAACTGGATTATTTGTGCTCAGTAAAGTTAAAGGTTATGGGTATATTGCGATCCAGAAAAAAAAATAATAATAATAACAAAGATCCCGTAAATCATAGAGAAAGTACTTTTTAAAGATATTTTGTGAAACTATAACTTGTTTTAACTTTAAATAGAATATTTTTACAGTACACTTAAACTTTGTCGAAGCTCCCTCGATACTCAGTTGTCAAATACTAGTATCTTTTTAATGACATGTATTTACTTAGCTTTCGTAAAAAGAAATTAACAAGGGGTTTGGCGCTTTCCTAGCATAATAACTCTCTGTAACTGTAAGAAAACGAGCCTTCAGAAGGTCGGGCTTCAGGTAATGTATTTGATAATTATTTTAATAAAATTTTAAATAAAAAATAAAAATATTAAATTGCTAGATATGGGCAGGGAGCTTGGTGATGTGTGATCTAATTCTACACAAACCCGGTAGGCTGCACCACTTGTTAAGCTTTAAGCGATACGTAAACAAACAGTCCAAGAAAAACAAATTAGATTAAAAATTTAGTTATTTTTTTTTTTTTATACTAATATTTTACTTTATATTATTACTTTATTAATTTTTTTGTTAGCAGAAATTTTTTATGGGAAAAGTGTCTTAGAACTCGGAGCAGGGACCGGCCTTGTTTCCATTGTACTGTCAGCGTTTGCTAAAAAAGTTTACTGTACGGGTTAGAACTTATACGCCTTGTGTACAGTGATTGTTGCGGATTGACCAATATATACTTAACTCAAACCGATAATTATTCAGTAAAATTAAAAAGTGCAAGTTTAGTTATTATATTTATCTTTAGACTATATACCAAACGCAAACTGTACAGGTTATTGGATTTTTATAGAAACCAGTTTTTTTTTGCTCGAGTTGAATATGAAGGAAGATTGGATTGTTTATAGTTTCCAATCAAAAATCTAGTTTGTACCTTATTTGAAAGCTTTCTATAATTAAGACTTAAAGGTAAAAGTTCTCGAAAACTGTCTCAGGAACATTATCAAAAACAGTTATTGGTGTGGATATTCTGGCTTAATTGTAAGTAGACTAAAAAACTACTAAATTCGTATAATATTCTACTCACCAATAAAGGAGGCACCAGCAGTCGAGGTTAGAAGAATGGATTGGGCTGAAGATATCACCGACAAAAAATTCATAAACCAAATGAAGTACGTTATTTATGGCCTTTCCTTATCGACGCTTTTATTCCAGCAGAAAGTCAAAGTTTTCTTGGAAAAGAGAGGAGATGGCGAATTTTTACCAGAACTTTGATGTTCTAGTGGCGGGCGATGGTACCTCTTTTTGGCTGAATTTTTACTTTGTTACCAAAAAAAACTTTTTGCTAGTGATTTACGACAACGAGCTCACCCGCCACTTCGTTAAACAAGCTAATAACTTTCTTGAAGGCACGGAAAAAACTCTTTACGTGTCTTTGGAAAAAAGGTAAGCCCACCGAAATTTGCAGACTCGTTGAAACCAATTTTTTCCGCTACAAGGATCAACTTTGTCAAGGAAACTTTATCAGTGGGGAGCCCGTGCTACGACTACTTTTTTACACTGCTATTAGAATTTGAATTGCATTTTGAGCCGATTAACACCAGCAGTATACCGCAATTCGTTCAAAATTACGAAAGAAGTGTCTATCAGGTATACACAACCCGCATGGCCCACTCCAAGTCTACCCACAATACACCATAGGAAGTGTGGAAGATTACTAAAAAGCTTGCATAAACAAGAGCGGGAAAGTACAACTGGTGATCTTTATTATTAAAAACTAATGGGTGCATCAAACTCGAGGAACCTTAGACTTCGCGCCATGGACCCCCAACACAGCTCTGCCCGAGGGATCAAGATTCGCTATCCAGGCCTTTTACCACGTGTAGCAGCCGGTTAACCACGCGTAGCGGTGAGCGATAGGATATAAATTACCGCGTCCCATTCCACTGCGGCGGAAGTCGAGCAAGCAACCGTCGGGCCTCCAGGTACAAGCTCGGCCGTCTGGGGCTCGGGAAAGTGGCGCTCAAACTCGCTGCGGTAGTAGTAGGCCTCCTTCGTCAGCGGCGTGTTGAAGGGAAACCTCATAAAGAAGCGTCAATGCGCCAGCCAGAGCGCGAAGAGGCCAAGGCCAGGGTGGGGGGAGGGGTTACCTCAACTTTGCGTCGGCAAGCATCCTGTCGGTGATGGCCTTTTCCGCAAACTCTTTCAATAAATCGATCCAACCGTAGCCCACGCCATCGCTAAACTGCTCTTTCTGTCGCCAGAGGATCTGCGCTTAATTAGCTGGGGTATAGATTTTTGTATATATAAAAAAAGGGAACTTCTTCAGGAAGGTAGGGTTGTTCTGGACAATCAAACGCTTTCCTGAGAATGTATTTCTCAATCTTTTTCCTCCCCTCGGAATCTACTTCTTGAGGATTGACCATCTTGTGTGCGGGATCTATAAGCAGGAGTTATAATATTATCAAAAAAAACATCACAAGTCTCTGGAAGGCTCACCCAAGCTCATGCAGACTTCAAGAAATTGTGTATCCAAAAAGGGGACACGTGCTTCTAGGCCCCAAGCGAGAGTGGCCTTATTAGCCCGCAGACAATCATACGCATGCAACGCCTTAACTTTTCTGACTGTTTCCTTGTGAAGCTCCTCCTGTACAACTAAGTTAAAGCAAATAAACTTTAAAGAAATTAAAAAAGTCAGGAAACCTTGCTGGGCGCCTTGTGGAAGTAAAGATACCCAGCGAAGATTTCGTCAGAGCCCTCACCAGAAAGAACCATCTTAAAACCCGATGTCTTAATGCGCTGGGACATCAAAAACATCGGGACGGACGCCCGCACGGTAGTCACGTCATACGACTCCAAATGGTAAATCACAGCTTTGTTAAAAAATAAATTTGAAAAGTGCGTCAGTCTCGGTAATAAGTGTGTACCAACCTGGCACTGCCTCCAATCCCTCCTGCAGGGAAAACTGAAACGAGTGGTGGCTGGTGCCTAAAAAGTCGGCCACCACCTTCGCAGCCTTGACGTCAGGCGAGTTAGGAAAACCCACAGAAAAGGTGTGGAGTTTAGCGGTATCTGCGCGTACAATAAATTAGTTCGTAAATTTCTTTTTTTTTTTTAAAAAAAATCCAACCGTTTTTAAAAAAACGAGAGACAATAGAAGCGATGAGTGAGGAGTCAAGACCCCCCGAAAGTAACACGCCTGGCACACAAACGAACGATCTTAGGAAAAAGAATACAGTGCAAACCCAGAGAAGCACACCGAAAGGTACGCTAGTCATCAACCGCTTTTTAACTGCGGCAGTTAAGGCTTCGCGTATTACCTCCAGATGGAGTTCTTGAGGCTCCGGTAAGAAATTCTCTGAGTGCCACTAAGTAAAGTCAAACATCATAAAAATAGCTCGGAGAAAGCATTTTAAAAAATTTACAAGAGGCTTAAAATAAGGAACAAAAACGCCCTTCACGCTACTGTAGTAGCAGCCAGGAGGAAACTCACTAATCTTAACGCAAACGTCCTGTAGAGCCTTTAATTCTATAAAAAAAAAACTAGTTATAAAAAAGTAACACGATAAAGTGGCTTATACCGGAAGCAAACCACATTTTCCCTTCTTTATCATAGCCGTAGTAGAAAGAAGTGATGCCGATGGGATCTCTCGCTGCGTAATATTCACCTAATTCTTGTCAGAAGAGAAAAGAACCAAAAAAGTTAAAACATTTACCTGTTCTCGAATCAGAAATCACAAAACTAAACATGCCGTCTAAATATTTCACAAAGTCATTGCCAAACTTTTCGTACAGGTGAACGATAACTTCACAGTCCGAAGAAGTTGCAAAGTTTACAGTACTAAGATAAAGAGAGGAGAGTTTTTTATAGTTATAAATTTCTCCGTTCGCGCAAAGACATAAAGACTTGTCAGTACTAAACAAGGGTTGATCCCCTGGTGTATTTTGAATTTATATTTTATAAATTTATTATAAAAATAGTGCCTTTTTCATAATTTAACGTCTATAAAAATATAAATTTGCCTGTTTCCAAGTCAATAATAGCCAAACGCTTGTGCACCAAGCAATTATAGCCTAAAGGTAAAAAGTATAAGTTTTCTATCAATAAAAAAAATGAAGGCTAAAAAGCAAGTTGACTTAAGACGTTCTAAGTTTAGCAATAGCTTTGTCTATAGTTAAAAATTATTGCATACCTTTTATAGTTTTCTGAATATTCACGCCATAACTATCAGGTCCTCTATGTTTCAAAAGCTCAGCCTGCCGCAAGGCGAGAGCGCGTAAGTCTGCCCGCTTCCCGCAGGCATTCAAGACGGCCAGTACACCACACATGACTGGAAAAAACTACCGAGCAAATTAGTGAGCATTTCACATATATACCTTTTGTGGACCAATAGTTTGCAATTGGTTTTTTTTTAAGAAAAAGTTTCTCACCGTGTAACAGGGGTATTAGAAACCTACTTTTTTAACTTCCTTTGCAATTAATTTTTTTTTTATAAAAAGTTCTAATCAAGTAACAGGAGTATTAGTCACCTACTTTCTTATATTCCGTAGGATCTATTTTAAAATTAAATCTGAAAAAAAAAAAAAAAAAAAAAAAACGAAGAGCATTATTTTTATAGCGCTGCAAGTTTTGACTTAAATAATTTTATTATGTGAAAGTATCCCGTTGTTCACGGGAATTGTCTTCTACCTTTTTACTACGAAATAGTCCTCCAAAGATTATAGATTCATTGCCTTTAGAAAACGGTGGTGTAACACAATTAAAATTTATTTTTAATAAACAATGCTCAATATAGTATCTACATTGCTAACAAAAACTTTTGTTTAATGCTTATCAACCAATAAAAGTAGCTTGCGAGAGGGAATGCGTAATAAACATGACATGCAAGAGCCAAGATTAATTGGGGGTTAAATAATAAATATTATGTTAATAATTAAACTTTTTAAACTTTTACTTTTTTTTATCCGCCTTACAATCCTTTTCCTAATTTATAAAAGGCATTTATGAATAATAATTTAGGGACCGCAACTAGCTAAATGCATTCTCTGAGAGTGTAAACTAACCGCCCCCTCTCCTTTCCCCGAGGTTTTTTTTCCGCATTTAAAAATTGAAATTTAATCTCACAATGATTAAACGCTTTATTTAATTTAAAAAAAAAAAATTGAGCTTTTATGTAAATTTTTGATAGAGAAGCATGTCTATTAATTATTCTCTTATATCCCTATGGGTTTAAGCAATGAGTAGATTAACGCTTAAATATAGAAGTTAACACACTTTCATTAACATGGGTAAGCACGGAATTTGCTTTCTATTATACACTTATTGCAATTTTTACTCTTCATTCTGCTTCATGCCTAGTTATTCTACACTCATAGAAAATGTAAAGGAAAACGGTTTAAGCAGACAAGAGCCCTACACTAACGCCATATATGAATATGAATAGGAAATATAAAAATAATATTAATATAGGCAATACCTAAACTTTTCTTAACTCCGAACCCTTTGGTAAGACCGAAACAAAGCTCTAGCCCTTCTCTCTTCAATGCTTTAGTTATAAAAAAAGATAATTGAGGGTGTAAGCGGTTTAGTACTGGTAAACATTTAGTTTTTGCTCTTCTTTCTCACGTTTGTCTTGCAATGGATAAAATAAAGCAAGAATCCGAAAAAGATTTTCTTCTTGAAAACTTGGACATTATAGAACCTGTTTTGGTTGATAATAGACTAGTATTTCCTTTAAACTTTGTTGGTTTTAATTGTCTACAAAACTTTCTAATAAGACAAATAAGTGTCTCAGTGAAGAATTTAATGACTTGTCTACCGTATTTATAGATACTGCCCTAGCATGGGAGCAAAGAAAACTTGGTTCTTCTGTCAAAGATTTTATTTATACAACACTTTTATCTCTTTTTTTGTCTAGCTCTTCTCAGGTTTAGAGGTATTATTAAGGGATACGCCCAGCACAACAACCTTATACCCGCTCTTAGCAAAATATGGGCCGATTTTCTTATTGTGGTGTGCTCGTTAACTTCTTTATAATATAACAAGTTTTTGTTTATTAAAATTTTCCACTATGTTTAAATTGGTTAGGTCAGAGATTTACGTTCTCAACTTAGTAGGGAGTCCTGTATAGCTACGGCCCATGTCGCCTTAATTTTAGGTTTGTTTTTTTAGCTTTATAATATTTTTTTTTTTTAAAATTAAAATATAAATTGTTAAAGGGAGACGGTTTGAGCCTTTGTTACAAGCAACGGTCTACTGCTTGATTCCTCTTCTTACAAGACAGAAAGTTAGACTTGTTGCTGTTCTTTCTATTATTTCTCTTTTATATTTCCACTATCACGGAATTAATAGTAACACTTGTTTTAAACAAAAATAGATTTTTGTATATTCTGCTTTCAACGCTATTAAGCAAGTAAGAAGTATTATATTTTCCTTTGAGTGGTATATATTAATCGAAAATTATATAAATCTTAAAGATTATGAAGTTCTGCTCTCATCACAAAATAATAAACATACTTGAAGAGAAACTCACCTCCAAAGATCTTTCCATTTCCGTTTATTGCTCGGAATTACTCGTATTTTACTGGTTTTATTAAAAGTTCTAGTACGGAATTAGCCTGTTTTTACCTTTGATTCTGATCTTAACAAAATTTAGTTAAATTTTTGTAAGGGCTTGTTTCTAACTACGTTTACATATATCTTAAGGCTGAAGCGTTACACACTTTTGAGCTTTCCATTCTTTCTAAATGCATCGAAAGCATCAAGAATGCCCTCCATCTAAGTATAAATCATGCCAAGTCCGAGTGTCGTAGATTGGGGAGGCAGAGCTTCTGGATCTTATATACTAAATTAGAAAGCGAAGCTTCGAGGTGCTGTGCGAAATCGAAATGAGATTAATTCAGAACAACTTTAGTTACGGTTTATTAGTTTTTTCGATCAGCTTCCGGAACATTCCGGCCGTCGAAAGGAGATTCTGAAAGAAAAACCAGCTCACATTCTTTGCACGAAATTTTCTTCGGGAGAAAAAGTTTTAATATTTGATCCTTTTTCTTTTTTTAGAAATTTAAAAAAAGTTTAATCTCTAGACTTCTGTTACCAGCGTGCGGAAGGGAAGACTAGCGTGGCCGCGTGCTGGGGAGCCAGTCGGTTTTGCTGACAGTCGATTTAAAGAGATCATCTTTTTGGAGCCGTTGCCTCAAGATTCTTTTTCTGACGGGCTTAAAGGAAACGTTAAAGAAGAGAAAAAGGATAATATAAGAACCAATCTTTTTAATAATCACGAAGAAACCCCAATTGATAAATCTGAGAGACCCCGTGGTGATCCGCATCTTAAAGATGAAATTAATAAAGAAAAAAAAGTTTTATTATTTTTTATTTTATTTTGTATTTGTCACAGCTGCTTTTTTTAAATTTCTTAGCAGAAAGAGGACGTCACTGAACTGGGATCGCCTCATATTTGCAACGACATTCACATCGATAGAATTCTAAAAAGCCTTGAGCACGGGGATTTTACAATAAACGGCCGCGAACTCCTTGTGGCGACCACCGAGCCTCTCGAACATCTTGACGAGGGTTTGGACCAGCCCTTATCGAATCCCTATATTTTAGCTTTTGTTTACATTCAATTTTTAGTATTTTTTCGACTCCACTGTTTAAATCCTTATAATTGTAAGCTTTATTTTTATTAAAAAACGAAAAATAAGGTTTAAAACAGTTAGTTCATTTCAATTATATTTGAAAAGTCTTAGGTATGGAGTATGAAGAAATTACTTTTTTAATTGTAATAATAATAGTTATAATTAGATTTAACTGCTCTCAATATTTCCGAACTTTTGGAACGTCTTGAAACATTAAATCGAAATTTTTCCTCTGAAACCTCCGTGACAAGTAGCGAATTTGTATATTTAAGGTCATCAAATTCTGTTTCTTAGAATAATTAACTTTGTGGGCCGTGTTTTTCTAGAAAACTTTTTTATTTTTTAAACCTTTATAATTTTTGTAAAACTTTATAAGAAGTGTTTGTTATATTTACATACTTACCTTTAATTTTTTATTACTTTTTTAATTTATAGATTTGTTTTAAATAATAACTTATTTTTAAATTAGCATTCAGTTTTGTTTTTTTAAACTAGAGATGTTGGAATTCCGTTTTGCCGAAGGAGGAAAGAAAATTTGAGTAGGGAAGGTTTTTTTAAACTGGTTAATCTTATTGTTTCGGCAGTTACCAGCCTTAAAAAAGTGAGCTTATCAACTCGAATATTTTTATAGAAAATTAATTTCCTCGCCTTTTTTTTTTTATAGTTTAACTCGAAGTTTGAATATCGAAGAGAACTAATCAATATCTTTGGAAAAATGATAACAGGCACTCGTTTCTGAAGATTTTTGTAGACCCAATTTTATACGAAATTTAACCAATCTTAGCTTTTCTTTGGATTTTTTTTAGAACTTTAGACATTTATTCTAAGTTTCTTAACGCCTTATTCAATAATTTTAAATGGAGATTATTTAATTTAAATCCTTAAATTTTATATAAAATAGCATATATTATTAATGTTAGTAATATTATAATTGTCACGCAAAGTAAAAAAATTTAAAAAATAATAACAACTACGAAAAAAAAGTTTATATAAATCTTTTTTATAAAAATTTATGTTATAATAATAAAATAGCATTAGTATAATATTATAAATATAAACTTTGCAACTGAAAAAATTACAATTAGTACTTGATTACTTAAAAAAAATTTACTGTCAATTGATTTTACATATACGCCTTTACATTAATTTATGATATTATCGTTTTTTAAAACTTAATAACAAATTCTTTGTCTTTAGGCTGTCATCGTACAGCATCGGACAATTGTACGCTTTATTTTTTTTTTTTGCATACGCACTTGTTTTATTTAATTTGAAATTAGCATCCTGTGTAAAGCGGTTTTTTAGGAGGTGTCGAGTAATAATTGTTTTGATTTTTAAGTAAATTTTAAAAAAGTTTCGACATTTAGTAACAGTGCTTTGCGTTTATATTTCTCTAAGATTGTTTCTTATTTTTCTTTTATAAATATTAAAAATTATATTTTATTTTAAACTTTATAGAAATTTATTTTATTATCTTATTTTAATTGGTCTAGTTTTTATATAATAAACTTTATGAAAAAGTTTATTATATTATAAATTAAATTCGTTTGTATTCTTAAATTATCAGCCTTTACGCTGATCTACTAGGCTTAAGTGCATTATGCAGCCTTTCAAAAAGTTATAATCTTTAATAAATTTTCTAGATAGATTAGTTTTTCTTTTTTTTTTTTTTAATAAAATTTATTTTATAGAATTATATAAAACTTTAATTACTCTATCTAAATTTTCCATTCAATAACTAAATTAAGGTTTCGTAGTTTAAAATAAATATATAGAGTTGCTTTGTACAAGTTTCATAATAAAACAATTATAGAATTCTGTAGTCAATTTATAAAGGAATCTCTAAATCTTTCTTTTTTGTGTATACTTTCTTCTCGTTATTATGAAATTTTCAATTTGTTGCGGTTGTATTAAAATTAACTTTCTTTTTACGAGTCCGGGTGAACTCCTCTCTTCCATTTACAATTGAGTTTTTTATATCAGTACTTTAATTATTATGCTTTTTTAATAGTTATTTATAAATTCTAATTATTGATGGGGCTCATTATTACCGGAGCTAATTTATAAAATATTATTGGTTTTTTTTATTGCACACCAATTCTCTCATAGAGCAATATTGTACAACTTATTGCACTTTTATTAAATTTTTAGTAAAAGTAAATTGGACATCTCGTTCTATTTTTTCACTTTTCTATATAAATTTAACTCTAAATTTTACTTTTTAAAGGGCTTATAAAGAATTTTTGTGAACTTTTATCTCTGGACTCTTCTTTATCGGTATTCTTTATAGGAAAGTTTTATTTTTACATCAGATTAATATAAATATAGATTTTAAAAGTATTTCGACTGGATCTTTCCGCTTCACTTCACTCTAATTATTATACGGATTTCGCCATGATGAAGTAAATTTCGCGATTCTTCAAAATTTCTTCTTTACCTTTTTTATATATGTGCTCTTTTACTTATTTCAGTCACGAGATGTTAAACATTTATACGGTTTGGGCTGAGCAAATTTCTTATGAAATTTTCAAAGACGTTCTTTTCAATTGTTTAGAAAACTTTGAAAAAAATTCAGATGAATCCGCCGGTACCTTTTCAGGCCAGCTAATTTTTGATCATAACGTAAATTGGCTTTCTATGGCCATTGATGTAAGTCACTAAGGACTTTTTTTATTTATTAAATCTTACTATAATAATTTAAATTGCTAATGTTTTATAATTTTATTTTTTATTTTAATTTAAATAGTTGTTTAACATATTTCTTGAGACTCGTCAAAATTTTGCAGGCCTTGAAGAGTTTTCAACTTTGTTTTTGGAAAAGCTTATTCAAGTAGATGTAGTTATTATGCTATTTTATATTGTTTACCTTTTTTTTACTTTTATTAGTTAATAAAATCTAATAAAGTAAACACGTTGGTTAATCGCACGAGGATAGTTGATGCTCTTTTAAAAGCAAAAACATATTATAGTTCTGATATTGAATCAATTCTCGAAAAAGAGGGACTCTCCTACTTACTTTCGTCCGGATAATAAAGAACTTCTTATGCTTTTACCATTGTATTACATAATTTTATTTATTAAAGGTAATAAGATTCACGCGTTTAGTAAAAATAACTTAGAAATTGAAATTTATAAGGATGGGCAAGTGTTAAAGCCCGTAAGCTTAATTGTTCATATAATTTTTAATTTAAATATTACTAATTCGCGAAAAAGCTTTTATTAGTTTTTAAAGATCATAAGATTTTTCTATACCTTTTTTGAGCAAATTTTTTTAAGGTAAATAAGGTGGTATTGTAAATTATTATTGGCCTTCGAGAAAGTTTAGCTGTTATACGAAAATATATAACACTTCTCAAAGAAACTGTAGTCTTGTACTTGTATTGTGACACGCCGTAAATAGTATGGTTGGATTAACCAGAGTTTATTACAAAATATTTTTAAAAAAAAAAAGACCAACGTTCGTATGAATGAAATTCGTGCAGTTTGTAAGTATATAAATTTTAGCTTCTAGTCTACGCTTCCTTAAAAGTTAAGTTATCCCTTATCTAATTCACTGACTTAAAAAACACTTCGCCCTAGGTTTTCTTTCAGAGCCTTTCCTCTTTTTATACATTACTCTTTTTAAAAAGTACTTTAACTTATAAAGGCTTACAAGATAGTAACTTAGTAATGGTTTTAAAACTTCTTTAATTGATTTTTAGAAAACGCAATAAGTTATCAATAACACATAAGCGTAGAATAAATAAAACTTTGAGGACAATAATTTTTTCATTTAAAAAAATGTCCTTAGTAGGTTGTCCTCTATATTTTATTATATAAATATTTGTCTCTGCTATACCATTTAAAAGTCTTATTTTAACTCTATTAATTGCTAGAATTAGTCTTTATAATTTATCAGATAACTTGAGTAAGAAAGCAGGAATTTAACATAAGGTTTAAATTAACACAAAAAAGCTTGAATACTAGGAAGTACTGTACTTTATTAGCAACTTATGGTCAACACAGTAAATAAGTGTTTAAGTAAAGCTTTTTCATGGAAATTTCTAAACAAATAGTATTTTTCTAATTAAATTTAGACAATCTAAAAGATAAAAGATGAAGACTGGCAAACTCACCTTTTTAATACTATGAAGTGTTTTACAAAATAAGTGGTTTGACGGCGGATCCCCAACTTTTCTAAGCGACTTAATAGTGGCGCCAGTTTCATATTTGCATATAAATAGGTTACTCTACTCTCTAGCCCCCGTCCGCTAAACTTTTCTCTTTGCAATGCGGCCCGCGGTTTGTAAATTATTATGGTAGGCGACCAGGGCCATACGGGCGGTGTGGCCTTCGATTCAACAAACTTCGATAAAGAATTCAAAAATATAGTTGGAGAAGAACTTGTAAACGGAAAGTTACTTGAAGACCATACCCCTAGCTTTTTATATCCTGAAAAACTCGATATTTTTAAAATATTGGATCGCTTCAGTGTTGATTTATCAAAGGTTTAAAAAAAATGACACCACTTCTGGCTTACAATATTAATATTAATTTTTATACATTTAAACACGCAAACATGTTTTTTTGTTTTTTCTATGGAGGTCCTCGAAGAAAACCTATTTTTAAAAGTTAATATTTTTGTAAGCCTTTCATATAACTGTGAGATTAGTGGTTACACAATTCCTGGCGACTACAGGAACAGCTTAAAGCACAAGAATTCTTGTATTCTAAAAAAATTACTTCTCTCCAAGAAACAGAATCGGAATTGGTGCACCACCCTAACTTATATAGCTACTTTATTTCCACTCATACTTTACTAAGAAAACCAAAATATATGACCTGGAACTTTGCTTAGAGGCCAACGATAAAAGACGAATAGAGGAAGTTATTACTAATAATATAGTTATCAAATAAGCATAGTATTAAAAAACTGTATTATGCATGCTTCGAGGCTACATTACGGGTATACCAAAGTGAAAGTGAAGTAGAGCAAGCACAGGTAACTGTGGAAAACTCAAAGTTATTTATATATATATCCCTACAAAGTTTTTATCTCTTTAAAATTATAGAGTGGTAAGTGAAGGTAACGAAGTTTTTGGGTAAAGTTTAAAGATAGACAATACGTTAAGATTAAGACGCATTTTACACAATGAACCTCAGTCTTGCTAAATTGAAAAATTATTAAAAAGTAATAATATAAATAGATAGCCGATGGTAGCGAATGCGCCTTTAATGAAATACAGTTGCAATCTCTACTGGAAGAAATTAAAAAAGCTAACGTAATCTGATTAAAAGAGCTCGTAACATCACAACTTTTTATTATACTATTTTTTAGATTAAAAATTTAAAACTCGAGAAAAAGCTTCTACAGAAGGTTCAAGGAATATTACCACGAAACAATTTTTACAAAATAGCCTATTAAAAGTTCCAAATATTCGTAGAACAAGCTTATTGCAGTACAGAATACTCTAACAAAGATGGCTGAGGAGGACAGAAAAGAAGGGAAGCGAACTGTAGGCGCTTTCATAAGTTAGAGGCCTTTCTTAACTTTCAGGCTTAAGTAGGCGCAACTCATTTACGAGGATGTCCAACAGCTGGATAAACTAATTGGTCTGCTGGAGAACAGAGGTAAAAGCTACATAATAGCAGGAACAGATGGCTTCCCCTCCCTTACCTCTGCAGTCTTAACTCACAGCAAGTGGGTGCACAAACTGGTGGAGCAGTACAACAATTGCGAGGAACAATTAATAGCCAAGAAGGAAGCTGCAAACAAAGTTTTAGTTTTTCTCACATAAAAGCCCTGCTCAAATAGTCGAGTTCTCAAAAAATAGGGTGCTCCTCCTATTCCTCTAATAGAAAGGTGGGAGGTTTTTCGTAAAACGCAAACACAATGCTCAGAATGCACCAGAAGTGGCTTAGAGATAATTATTTATGCCCATATATAGTTAACGTCTACGTTTTTAACTTTATAAAACGATAGCCAACGATATGAACATTTCGAGATTAAGGAATTATTGAAACAAGCTAATCTTCAGTTAGCAGAGCAAGTTAAGATCAATCAAAAAGTTATGCAGAGAATCAATGAAGCAAAACCCCCGAAAAAAAACCATGAAACAATACTATAATAAAAATTAATGCGTATAACTTTTCAATCAAAATTTTAATACAAATAATAACTAATTTAGTGGGACAACGTTCTTCTACCTTTAGCTTTTCTTCTTGCAAGAATTTTTCTCCCACTTTCACTTTTTAAACGAGCTAAAAAACCATGCTTCCTTTTCCTTTGTAAATTATTTGGTTGGAATTCTCGGCCTGCAACGTGAAATCTCTTGGGCACAGCAAGTACCGAACTTCTTAGATTGGTGCACAAACTTGGGGGTGTTAAACTAAATGTGTATATAGATTAATAAAAAAAAATTATGCTCTTTGGTTCTTTAAATAAAAATGAGCATTATACAAGGAGTATTACATACTTACCCAGGCACAGCAATGCGTTTAAAACGCCAGCTATGATAAAAACTCTTAACAAAAACGCCGGAAACTCGAGTTGTCGTTTTCCACTGACATAACAAGAAGTCCAGCAGCATCCCAGCAGTTTAAGATTCTCAAACCTCGTGTAGATAGAAAGTTATAGTCGCTTACTTGGGATGTTATTTCAGCTATTCCATTGAATAATTTTTGAGCTGCAAATGTATGCAAAATTTGTAGACTCCAGCTGATTTTTGTTCTCCACTCCAAATACTTGACTACAATATATCTTACAGTATTAAATGTTTATGTTTTGTAATAAATACAATTAAGTTAAAGAAAAATAAACCATTCCTCTAAAATTTTCTATTGTTATTTTATTATTTATTCTATAAAAATCTAATATAACTTTTTCTGCATTTTTTAATTGTCGGTAAGTATTAATTATAGCCTAATTGATGTTTTAAAGAATTAAGTAAAACAAAAAATGACTATAACAAATCTATTGCGCACCCCTTTATCAACACGTTAAGCGTTTTCAAAACCTTGAGACTACTTAACAATACAAAACAGAGATTTAAGCCTCACCGTTGCTACCAATTCCTTAGCGAATTTAAAACTTATTTCTTTTCAGAACTAATATTCTTGCAATGGTCTTTTTATTGTTTTCTAGAATAAGGTGTGCAATTACAATGATACGAAAATTAATATAAATCTTTTATCCATAATAAATAAGGCTGGAAAGAGTATAAGAACAAGGAATTTAACGCTTTTTCACAGACTAGCCATAGATGATCTTAGTATGAAATATATTTTAAAGAAAAGTTGCTTAATATACAATATTTTGCAAACTTTTACTAAACGGCAATCAGATGGTAACTGAATTGAAACTATGTTTTAAATAAGTAAATAAAAGGTTTGCTTTGGAACATCTCAAGGTGGTACGCTACATATACGACGTAAGGCTCACTTTACTTCCGTTTCTCTCTCAATTTATTTTCAGGGCTTAAATTTTGACTTGTCTCACTTGCAAGACAGTGAGAGCACTGTAGAATTTTTAACAAAGTATTTTTCTTATAATGAAAATATTATTTTTCTTGTTCTTCCTTACATAATTCTTATAAACTTTAAACGATACTATAAGAAAGGAAGCAGTCAAAAAAACTAAAGTACGCAAGGTCACACTAGTATTCGTTAATATTTAAAGAAAGAGACATTAACTAATCTCTTTTTAATAATTGTAGATTCACACAAAAAAGAAGCCTTCAGAGTAACAGTTTTTATAGTTTATAATCTTAATTTAGTATTTTTAGTAGTACAGTCCTACGACGCTTCACAAAGCTACGAGTCTTGTAACACATTATATAACTCTACTAACGAGTGCGCTGACTCAGTTTTATAAATAAATATTAAAACTCATCAAAAATATTCACACAACTTTTGTATCCACTTTTTTCTGGGAAGCGAATAAACTCTAACAAAAAAACTAAACATAATTATTATAATAAAAACTATTTCTTAACATTTGTTTTATTAGATGTCTCAACGGTTACGCTTCCCCCAGGGAGTTGGCGTCCACATAATTTTCTCGGACGAAATGCGAATGCTACGACGGTTTATAAATTTCTTCTGCGCTTGTAGTATTTCTTCAGTTAAACACAAGATATAACCTCCCTTTACAAAAAGAAAATTACATAAACCAAAAAAAAAAGAAATGCTCATAAAAATATTACTTTATAGTAACGAATCAGCCCTAAATACTGCAGAGTACCCACTACATCCTCCTCTTTTATGCTGGTGGCCATGGAAATCCCCTTAATGGAAATGCTTTCATTCCCTACATAATATTAATTATGCACAACAACGTTGATAATAATGATAATAATAATTATTATTATACTTCTCTCTAAAAGAAGTTCCACAATAGTTTGGCTCCAATAACTACGGTAACTAAGCAGCCCTACAATAAAAATAAATATTTATTACAAGAGTTGCTGAATTAAGATTATAGTAATTTATTAATTTATAGATCTAAAATTTATTGCATTCTTTTAGTGCATAACTGTTTCTATTGAATTACCTTAATTTACAATTATCATTGGTCTAAAATTGCGCTACTAAAAATTTATTATTAAAATTATAATATTGTATAATGAACTAAAACTATGAATTTCATTAAAAATTTTTACCGAGATCGGAAAGAGGTTTCTCCGGCGAGCCACGTTTTCCTTCCAACTTTGAAAGTTCATAACCTCAATTTAAGTTTTATATAAATCTATAAAAAAAAATTAAATTTTCTTACTAAATTCAATCAACACTCTTCCAAAACCCCTTCTTTGGTACTGCGGAAGCGTCAAAATGCATGCAACGTTATAGTCTTCATTACTTTCCTTTTCCTAGCAATTTACATAAAATATTCGCAAAATCATTAAGCTCGTAAAATTTATAATTATTTATAATAAAAAATACCCAGCTAAAATATTAAAAACGCCCTTTTCCTAGTAATATTCCATTAAAATAAATGTTAAAACAGATAAGTTCGTAAGAAATATAAATTTTGATTAAAAAAAAAGCACTGCAATTGTATTAAAAATTAATTCTACTAGAAATGACCCAAACTTATTCACATAATAATTTATACTCAACATTTATTAAATTTTATAAAGTTGGTGCTGGTTTTAATAAAAAGGCTTTTAGCCATGCTCCTTTGTAAAATCCAAAAACTAATAAAATTAGTGCCCAAAACATATTTTTAAAAAGCTTGTAATTAAATTTCATTAATATTTTAATAAATTAAGAATATATTTTGCATACTAACATTTTTATAATTATTTCTAAATGCATTTAAAAATTTACTTCAAGCTTTTTAAAAAAAAATAAGCAGAAAAAAATAATGTTAAAAAATTTTAACAGCCGTATTTGAAATTTCAATGTATTTCATAAATTTTTTTAATAAAATATCTTTATTCCGCGGCAGAAAATTTTCAGTTCTTTTTTTTTTTTTCCTGAAATTTAATTTCGAAAATACTAAAACTGTAGTAAATATAACTTCCATTAATTTAATTTCCCTGTTAAATTTTTTTTAAATCATTTATTTAAAGATGCAATAAAAATTTGAAACCATTACTTTACCTTTATTAAACCAAAAAGTAAATTAAATATAATGAAAGTTATACGTATTTCTTAATTTTATTAATAAATTGATGTATTGTAAGTTTGATTATAAAAAATTATAAATTCTTTAAATTACAACTTTTGAATAAAAATTTTATTTTTTCTTAAATCATTCTAATATAAATTTTAATATATTTGAATAAGTTTTATTAAATTCTCAAAATTTCCTTTTTTTTAATTGTACAAGATAAAATATAGATATAATATTAAAAAAAATAGAACTTTTAATATTTATATATTTAGTAAAAAGTTTAAAACTCGTAATCCAAATTTTTTAAAAATTTATAATTACTAAAAAAAATAATTATATGTTATAATTGTAACTGTTACAAAGTTTATAAATTTTAATACCAATTTCCAAATTATATTTAAATTTTTATTATTTTTACTAACTTTTAAAAAAAATCTGTTATTTTAGGTTGAAACAATTCAGATTATAAAAAAAATTCAAAATAAAATTTTTTAATACAAATCAAAACCAAAATAAAATACTTCATATACAAACAAAACTAAAACAAATTAATTTAAAAATCTAATTTTATTAAAAACATTTATAATTTTATTTTAAAAGTTTATTGAAAAAAATTAATTTAAGATTATTATAATAAAATTTAGTTCAACTAATAGAATTCCATAATTGGTGGAATAAAATTATTTACTTCGGAACTTTTTAATTAAAATTAATAAATAATTTAGTATGTGTGTTAGTTTTAATGTGTAGGTTTGCATTTCTTCTAAATTAAGATTTTATAATGTATAATAAAATATGATGAATATACAATTTGAAAAGTATAAATGTTTTAATTCTGTGAATAAAAAATCTGTAAAAGTAGATATTAAATACAAAATTAATAATATAAACGTTATAATTTAGTAGATTTATAAATTATGTAAATTAAAATTTTATGTATTATATTAATTATTTTGTAGCTATAAATAACGGTTTCTTTAATTTAAAAATAAATTAAAAAATTAGGAATTATTTTTTTTTAAAAAAAAATAAAATTCTAAAGTAATTTTAAATTTATAGAAGTATTTATAATCTATAATTTAGTATTAATTAACTTCAGCTACTAACTTTAGAAAAGTAGCCAACGAGATGAAGGCCGTAGTCGTCCCACTCCGTCATGCAGTAGAAAAGAAAAGGGTCTGTGTCGTAGTAGAGGGTCTTGTGATCTAAAAAAAGTTTCGCAAGCAAGCAAAGCCGCTGGCAATACGGCTAAAAAGTAAAAATAAAAAAAAATAAATTAATATTAAGATCAATTATAATAATTATTTTGAAAATTAAGATTAAATTATATAATAATGAATCATTAAATAAATAAAGATTTTATATAACAAGGTAATTTCTTTAGTTAATAAAATCATTACATAACTTTTATGTATATATATACTTTTAATTTTTTTTAGGTAATAATATTAATATATATCATAACCAAAGATGCTCTAACTCAAGTCTGAATATATAAATTTGTAAAAAAAAAAGTATGATTTTTCAATGAAATTAAAATAGTTTTAAAACTTTAATAAAAACTTAATCTTAAAATTATATATTAACAGTTATAAAAAGCTAACTTTTTTTTTCAAAAAAATAATTTCCATTTTAATATAAAAAAGTACTTTTATAAAAAGATAAAATAATTCATAAAAAGAAAATTTATAAAACTAAATTTATAAAACTAAACTTTACTTTCGGGCTTTAAAAAATAATTATTAAAAAATGGACGACATTTTTGTTTACAAACTGAAATTGAAAATTTAAATATTAATTATGCTTAAGTGAAAATTATAATTAACAGAAATAAATTTACTAAAATTGCAATATAATAAATTATATAATTATAATTATTTTAATTTTCTATTTCTTTTTAGTAAACTAAATTTTAAAAAGTAATTTTTATATAAACTAAAGTAAAAATTAATTTTCCTAATATATAAATCCACAAAGAAATAGGTTTATAATAAAGATATGTTATAAATTCATTAAATATAAAAAAAAATATTAAGAAAGAATTTAATATTGACTTATACATTAAATTTTATATTAATATAAATTAGTAATATAACTAAAGTGTATAAAAATTTAAATTTACTTATAAATATTATATAAATTTCGACAATAAAATTTAATATAGAGTCGTGCGTGACAATTAAAAAAATTAATAAATCTCTTTTATAATAAAATTATTATAATTTATATAAAAATGTTAAAGTAATTTTATTATGAAATAAATATGCAGTATAAAATTTTAAAACATTATTATAAAAAAAAATTTTTAAATTTTGTTATAGATATCAAAACTTCAAATTTATGTAAAGTGTTATAATGATTTTTATATATAAGTACGAAAATGAATATAAAATTTATAAAAAATACTTAATTTATAAAGAAAATTATAAAATTTAAAAAAACTTTCAAGTAAATAAAAACTTGAAAATATTTAATAATAATAAAAAAGGTTGAACGAATATTAAAAATAAAACAATAACTTTTTATAAAATTGAAATTATTATAATAAAGTTCGTATATATAATAAATAATAAAACATTAATCTAAGTTTAATAAAATTTAAATTAATATATTAAAGTAATTATTAACTTTAACTTTTAGTTTAAATATTTATAAGTTGTGATTTAATAAAATGCCGTACATGTATAGTAAAATGAATATTTTATTATAAAAAAATAAAAAGTTTAATGATTTGAAATTAAGATAAAACTTTTAAAAATTTAAATTATTATAAAATTATTATAATAAATTTGTATATATAGAAAAAAATAAAGAATTAATTTGTATATTAGATTATAACTACTACTTTTAGTTTAAAATTATTAATTATAATTAAATTAATCTTATATAAATTTTTTATAAACTGAAATTTTTTTATAAAAATAAAATAAAAAATTTACTAAATTCTTAAAATAAAATAGTAACTTTGAAAATTAAAAAGTTATTGAAAGTTATTATAATAAACTTCGTCAATATAAAAAATAATAAAGCATTAATATAACTTAAATAAAAGTAAATCTTATAAAAAATTTAACTTTTATAAAAAAAATTGATTAATTTAAGCTTTCGTAAAGTTTTTAACAAACTGAAAAATTTCAAAAAAAAAAAAAAGATGCTTAAAAAATTATATAGGAGTTAAATAAATTTTTATAAAATTATTTCGTTTTTTATTATTCGTGTTGCGAATTAATTTAATTAAAATTAATAAAGTTTATAAATTTATAATAAGAATAGAACAAAAATTTCAATAAACAATTAAAAAATATTTTTATAACATGCAAAAAACTTATTATTGAATAATGTAAACTTAATATTATAAAAACGAAGTTTACGAGTTCATTAAAGAAATTATAATCCAAATTTATTATTTTAATTAATAAGTATACAAATCTTATAATTCACAGAAAAGATTAAATAATAAACTTAATTTTTTTTTCATTTACTATAAAAAGTCAAGTTTTTCTTAATATATAAAGTAATAGCGTCAATTTAAGGGACTTAAATTAGCTGTTGGCTTACAAAAAAAAGGATAAATGAATTCTAAAACCAAGTATATAAACCATAAGACTAAAGGGCGGCGCCGCTTGAATCTACAAATACTAGTGCACAGCACTATTGTATCGATGTACTTTACGTACCCAAATCTATTGTTGTATACTTTACAGGGAGCCGGCACTGATGGCCATGACACAACTCAACAGGTTAGCACCTTCGAGTTCCAACGAAGACCCAATAAGCACTTAGAATAGAGGTCAACAGCGCTATTTACGTACCACTCATTTATGCGAGCCTCTATTGTTTCTTTGTTTAAGCCTTATTATATATAGATTTTACTCTATATTACGGTTTTCTTAACTAAATTTATAATTAACTAAAAGAAAAGCAAACTATAAAAAATAAAAAAAAGGTCATTTTTATTTTGAAAAACTAAAAAAAAATTTTCTCCTCACAATTAAATTGGAAAAAAATTTTAAATTTCTAAAAAAACTTTCTTTATTACTAACGAGTGAAGTAAACTATTACATTTAAAAATTAAAAGGCAAAACAAAATTACTTACTAAAAAAGTCAAGTATATATAACCAAATAATTAAAAATAAATTTATAAACTTTTAAAATCTATTTTCGGTCAATTACTTCTAAAAATTTAATATATTATAAAATTAACTCGATTTACTATCTTTCATAAATAAATTAATTTTCAAGATTGATTCAGTTAATTAAGGTAAAGCAACTGTAATAATTTCTAGCTATATAAAATAAATACAATTTATTCCATAACTATAAAAAAAGTAACAAAAATAATTTTTCAAACTTCACTGATAAAATTTAAAATTTATTTAACAAACTATTAATAATATTTGAATTCTTAAATTTATTTCAAACTTTATTTTTTCTTCCATCAATTTCAAAAAAAGAAATGGTCTCGTTGCGGTAAATTTCGTTTCCTGGCGGATGGCGTAAAGTACACTTCGTCTTTACAAACAAAACAAAAAAAATTAGAAAATTTGAAAAATTTATAATAAACAATATTTTTAAATTATGAATTAAAAAATATAAAAAGAAAGAAGAGCATAAATCTATACAGTAGATATTGTTTTTAAATTTTTATATAAAAAATTTATTATAAAATTAATTTAATACTTATTAAGTAATTCTAAATTGATAAAATCACAAAAAACTAATGTTAATAAATAAATTTAATAAGATTAAAAAATATATAAATCCATTAAAAAATTCTATAAAAGTTAGTATAAATGTATAACTTACTCTGTGCCTCTTTAAGCAAAACTTAGAGGGAACGTACTTCAAGCAGAACTCACAAATGTACAACTATAAAAAAAAATTAAATTTGTTTTTGTAAAATCAGTAAATTAAAGGCTTTATGGCACAAAGTATTAATACTGTTTTAAGTTTAGAGTATTCTTCGGGATATGGAGAAAAGTACCACGGCTGAATTATGTACAAACCCATCTCTAAAAGTGTAGCAGAAATTTAAAGGTAATAGTGGATGCTATAAGAAGTTACGCAAATAATATATAATTTATTAAAGTTGCCAAAATTAAAATATAAATACAAAGTAAAAAAATTAAAACCAATAGCGCTTAGATTTTTAACTTTTACAATTGCATCAGTTCCTTTAATTACGGAAGACAACGATCCTCTTAAAGAAGGCGATTTTTTGTTATCCGTAGCTTCAGGCTAAATATGTATATACATATATAAAGTTATACAATATTAAAATAATTATTAAAAAAAACGAAGTAAAAATTAAAGTTACATAAATAAATTTTGTATACCGCACTGAGTTCTTTTGTAGTCGATCGAATACGAGATTTCACAGCTACGAATTATAAAAAAATGACTTGGCATTGGCAAATTTATAAGTAACAAAATATATGGATTACTCACTTTTACCGGAAGATTTTGACTTTTTAGAAGATGAAATAGAAGAAAAGTCCATTTTCTCTGTACCAATCCACTCATCTAACCTCTTATTAACTAAAAAATTTCAGCTTTAATTTCAAAAAAAAGCATTTGAGGAAGAATTAGTACAATCAAGATAATGAACGTAATAAGTAATAGACCCAGAATCATTTTTAGACAATATTATTTCCGCAAGCTCTGTAAGAAATTATAGCTATAAAACCAAAGTAAATGTTTTTTATAAAAGTAAGACGTTAACGCACGCCAAGTATCCCCATCCTTAGAAGATTTTAAGCACTTTAATCTGGTGCCGACATCTAATATTTTGAATTTTTCATCTTCAGTTACGTTTGAAAATTCTTTTTCTTCCTTTACTTTGGAGCTTTTAACATTCATAATACTCTAAAAGTGGAGTCATTGACGTCGACTTATCAGTAAAAGTGCAGGACAGCAACTCGACGGGTTTAAGCACGCGCGGGGGCTTGTTATATATTTTTCGTGTTCCACTGGTTGTATGTCGTAATAGTTTTTTGTTTTTACTGCCCTGGGGTGTATATACGATTTATAATAATGAAACAATAGTCACTTATTATGATTACAAAATTTTTTTTGAAAAAGACGGTAAGAGTCGTAGTCTAGGTTGAGTACAACGAATAATTGTTTATAATAAAAAGTTTTTTTAAATATTTTTTATTCATATTATCTCAACAAAACAGATTATTGATTTTTTTTTTATAGTAGTTTTTTGACTTGAGCTACTTTATATCATTTTATTAGTGAAAACCACGACACCTTGTTGGTATTCTCTTTGGGTTGCTTTAACCGAAGATTAGTGTATTAGTAATTTTTTTGTAAGTTGTTTAACAAATAATATTATTACCACAACTTATGTATTATAGAAGATTGTCTTTAGAATGTTTTTCTAACAAAATATCTAATAATGAGTGATTTTCACGTCTATTTACGGTTCTCTGCTATTATTAAACATTTGACTGTAAACGAAATTCAATTTTATTGAAAGTATACGACCCTATAAACTAAACATTTTAAGTTACGGTCCCTGGATTTATGCTTAGTATATCTGGAATACGTAGGGGTATACACATTGTATGCGTTGTATACAAGTGCAAAGGAAAGTGTTTATCAATCTTTACGTTTTAAAATCTACAATGCTAACAGGGGGTAACCTTATTTTTATTGTACCGCATTTATTTACATTATAATGATAACAATCTTAAAGTTGTAAATTCTATTGTTAGTACAGAGTATTGCTTCTTTTTTTCAAATTTTTAAGAAAAGCTTTACGGTTTGAAATACTTAAAATTAACTAAAATCCCCTTTCACTCCATTAGTAAGGGTTCGTTTACCTAGCCTGCGCTTTTTACTTTAATGCAAAGTTTTTATTATTATTAATGAATTATGCAAACGGTCGGTGATATAGAGCGCAGACTCAATCTTGCAAATAATTTATATTATTAGGTTAGACCGTATTCAGAGTACGGCCGATCTTCTCAGCACTCTTTCTTCCTGTGCGTTAAAGGTATGACTAAAGTGTAATTGTGCGCTTAAATCGCACCGCGGGGCCTTCGAAGGCGTGAGTCATTCCAGGGTCCGTTTGTAAGTTTTTGAATCCACTGGTGGTTTAGATGCCCACTAACACGTTCAAGAAACTGAAGTTGCATTTCGGAAAAAGGCTTCAAGTCAAGTAACGTATCGTTTCGAACGAAATAATCTGCGTCGGTCATTGGTCGCAGGAGCTTGTTTTGCTGCGTCTGGAGGGGTGCACTCGTCGTCGGTTTATCATGTGTCCAAGCAACAGATGCTTAGGTCATAATAGGGCACACGCATACTTTATAAAGGTGCATTTTATTGTGCAGGGACATGCTTTTAGCACACAGCAGCGGGTAGAGTGCGTGAATTGCTGGTTTGTCCTTAGTCGTAATGAACTCTACGTATGCCCTCCAAGTTAGTCGGTTATCGATGAGGGCACCCGAATATTTGGCCTGAGAGCCCATGGGACCTTAACACTTTCGAGGGTTGGAGGCAGGGGTAGCGTGATACAGCTTCTTGAGATGAGGATTTTGCTCTTCGTTTCATTTATGTTCACTCCCCTCCTGCCTACACCAGTCGGCAAATGTTTCCAAATAACTCTGCAAGTGTTGCTGTAATAATGAGGGGCTCTTTGAGGACACGCAAACTGCAGTGTCATCGGCATAGAGCGCAACACGGGCATAAGGTTCGCAGGGAGCGGAATATCTCGCATATGTAGTGCGAAGAGTAAGGGGCGAGAACAGAGATCCTTGGGGAACACCAGCTGTCAGTCGATGGTAGGGCGACAGCGCAGCCCCAACTCTCACTCGAAAGGTGCATCCACGTGGACAACGCAAGTATGCTGTAGAGGACTAACGGAGTACCTAATGTGCGTATTTTGCGTAGGAGGCCCTCGTACCATACGCAGTCAAAGGCCTTTTCAACATCGAGAAGTAACACCCGTAGATTTCATAAATTTGATGTTCCGAGTTGTCCACTCAACAAAGCGCCAAAGTTGTTATCTCTTCGGAATCCACATTGGAATGCTCGGAGCGTTTAGTGTCTTTATGCAAACTCTTCCTGTCTGTGAAGTAGAACCGCCTCCACGGTTTTGCCCACCGCTGAAGTCCGCGGAGACTTGGGTAGCATCACGGCAGTGGCCGTTTTCTATCGCATTGGGAAGGAGCCAAGCGACATTGCAGAAGTTGCAAGGTAGGAGAGATGGTTAATCGCCACCGGCGGCAGCTTTTTTAGCATTTCGTTAGTATTACCATGAGGATCGGGTCCTCTCCTAAGTGGAAGTGCAGTAACTATATTAAAGATTCATCAGGTGAGCTCGGTTTAATACGTCCGTCTACAATAATAGGGGGAGCCTGCGTAGTTTTACCTTCGTCCTCAAAGGTTGCCCAAATCGGAGGAACACATGAGCGGGGCGAAAAGCGTCGCTTTGTCTTCGTCGCTTTCCGCCCCTATCACGCCATTATTAAGTGGCGAAAGTGGTGGGAGGAAACGGTTTTTAATACGTTTGACGAAACGCCAAAAAGATGGCCTCCCTTCCCCTGCCGCTACAGACACGTCCTGCAGTATCGCCTCCAGCGGTTCTTAGGAAAGCGGCCAGCTCCTTTCTAATGTAGCGGTAAAGACGTTTTAGCATCAGTTTGTCGTCGGTGTTCTGTGTAGCAGCGGCCAGGCGTATTAACCGGCGACGTTGAGAATAAGGCTCATCAAATAATCCGGTAGACCGCCAGGGCGATACGCGACTTCGGGCAGGGTGGGCAGCTGTCAGTACGCCCTCAAAACTATCGACTGCGTCGTCTAATAAAAGAGGGAACCGGAGAGGGAGATAGGTTGGGGGATAGCGATGCTCCAACCGCAACTGTAGATTTTGTCCAGCCCGGCCTGCCCGTGTTCAGAGTAAGATGAGCAGGTGGCCCGATGAGAGCTCATGTAGCTCTGCAGTTGATACCGACTGATGTAAAATTGGCTATGGTGAGGACTTCTGAAGTGCCGCTTTAGCCATGTACTTCGGACGTTGAGGTGCTAGCAGGCGAAAAAAAAAAGTTGTGTGGACCCGCGTATTCCTCAAATTCGAATTTTCAACTCGCCTGTTCCAAGCAGCGTGTTTGCAGTTAAAGTTACCACAAAAAAACGACGGCAAGCCATGTTGTAGCAGCTTATCCAGAGCAGCCCGTGTCGGGGGTTTATAGATGGATATCACGTCAATCGATCTCGTGTCAGCCAAGTTGAGATAGATCCCCATGGCCTCCATGCCTTTTGGGTTTGGGTGTGCAATCAGGTGGAGCGGTAGATTTCGCCGCACAAGTATTGCTACTTCACCTGGCAGTCAAGACGGTACATTGGGTAGTTGCAGAATACAAGTCGAACTCCCACTTTTTTCACGTGCATCTCGCTTTACAGCGCGACATCCACGTCCTTCCTCTGCCACAGCTGCAGCAATTCGTCCTTTATGCAATATACACCCCTGGCATTCCACTGTAAGAGTTTCAGGTGGAGTAATGGACGGGTTTGTTCTAACAACTATTTGCGGTCGTGGGGTTGCTAATCGCTCGAAGACATATTTTAAGAGCAGTTGTGAGTGGTGCCAGTATCTGACCAATGGGTTGGGAGCAAGAGGTCTTTGTTGTTGCGGGGGTTGCGGTGCATGAGATTTTTGTCCCATCGTGGCTGCAAGAGAAATCGTCGGCGTTACTGGTTGAGTTTCCGTGGGTCGTAGGCATGTCGGTGGCGGAGAAACGATTTTTCGGAGATATTTTAAAGACCTTCGGTAATTTGCAGTGTGGGCCTCGCTACAATTAGCGCATTGGGCGGGCAACTCTCGGGATTTCTCGCATTGAATCGTTATATGGTTCTCCCACACTTGACGCAAGGTGGAGAGAATAGTACCTTTCTGTGCACTCTGGCCGAAACGCTGACAGAGGGGGCACTGCCCGTGCGATCACTCTCACGAAGTGGTTCAACGCTTAATTACAGATGACAATGATTGCAATGCGTAGTCTTCGGGCCCTTCTTTTTTCCGGCAAGTGTACAAGAACCAGCGGCAGCGGCCGCTTAATGCCGTTTGGGCCGGTTGTAGAAAGTCGTGCAATGCGGAGGGGTGAAAATCCTTAGACATTTAGCGCTGTTTTTATGTCGACTATAGGTAGATCGGTGTAAAAACCTCGAAAAACGATCTTGACGGGTTTGTACTCGGGTAACTGGTAGCAGTAGTGTTGCCAAGAGCGCTCCCGTAATAGTGTTACTATTCTGCGGTATTCCTCGGCAGTTGACGGCAACAAAAGAATGTGGTCGCGGAGATCACGGGCGGGAGGGCACTTCAGAGCGTTCAGAAATCCATTAACGTAGGCCACTTTTTCTTGTCAACGAGCACGATAGGGGGATTTCTACTTTATGTGCCGGCGGTTCTTTCGGGGTCTCCCGTGTTTTGGCTGTTTCTTCAGGAGGTCGTGTCAGTTTCCATTCCATCCAGTTCTGGTTGGGTAAACGGTTGTTGCTCTGTCAGTTGGGACGGTGAAGGCAATTTTAAGTTTATACTGTTCTTACTATTACAACTATCATTACTAACTTTCTACATATTATTTTTATTATTTATATTACTATTATTATTATCATGGTTACTATTATGACTGCTGTTATTATTTTTTAAAGGATTGCTACTATTACTATTATTTCATTTAATGAAATTATTATAAATACTATTATCGCTACTTGTGGGTGTTTCATGTAGCTCACTATCTTCCAATATCTCCTCTTATAATGACCAAGGTTTGTCTAGAAGATGTAGCGCAAGAAAAGAATTAATATTTGAATTTACTTTAGGTACAAAAGGTTCTTTGCGCCTTTTTAGTGTTTTTTAAGAATTTTTTTATTTTCCAGTTGATAATGTTTTGCCTCCAAAAATTTTAATTCATTTTTTAAAGTCGCGTTGGTAGCCAACAAGTTGTTAATTAGATCATATTCAGTATTTGTGGAAGAAGAACACAGTATAAACGTTCAAAAAGCAATTAATACATATAAAGTAATTATTAAAATAATACCTTAAATTTAAAATATAAATCTATATATATATATATAGGTAGGTGCAGGTATATATAGCTGTTCGTTAGGTAGGCGTTGAGCAAAAAGAATAGTAATATGTAAATATGTGAGTTATTTATAGCAAATCCGTAGTAAAAAGTAGAGGTGTGCACGCCACACTCAAAAACGGCAAGAGGACCGCGCGAATAAAACTTTTGGCAAAAAAGTTAACGTAGAATTCGTTGTAGTATAGTTCGAAGTCTTTAGGTTGATCGGCATTCTTTAATAATACTATTAAAACATATTTTAAAAACCTTTAAAGCTTATCACAAATAAATAGCCTAATCTTGACCATTGTTATTATAAGTTAATAAGCGAAGGCCCGCCTTACTTTAGCTGAGGCCTCGCAGTTATTTTATATATTTTAAGAGACTTCCTACACTCCCAAAAAAGTGGACGGTTCCCTTAGGGTTAAAAAAGGTAATAAATTTCGAGTTCTGATATATAAATATATATAGAGCTTTTATTGCGCTCGGCCGAGTTAGCAGACGTAGCTATAAAAAAATTTGTTTTAAGTAATTTTAAGACATATCGATTAAAAAAGACTTTATCCCTCCCTCTCTTCCTTTCCCTTTCTAGCCTTTTAAGTTACACATAAACACCACAAATTTGTTAATTACAAGATGGTTTTAATCGAGATGTATAAAAAGCTAAGGTGTATAGTCAAGTTGGCTCGCTTATACTTTATTATCTTCAAAAAAAGGGTAGTTGTTGGCAACTCTATATTTCCTATGGCCATAAGTTTGGGTTTCTCAGGCTATTACCAGTTAAGCGAACTTTTTCAAAACTTTAAAGCCGTCAATTACTTACAAAGAAAGCAGCAGACTAGCAAATAAAATTAATACTTATGCCATTTAACTTAACATATGAGCCCAAACTACAATTAGAATCAAGGTAACGTGTCTCGCATCAAGACGCAGATGAGCTGCTATGGTACTGCGCTCGAAGACTATCCAGAAGCTCTATCTGGATATATTATGTATTAAAAAAAGGGGGGAAATAATAAAATCTCAAGAAACCCCTCCTTTTTTTACACACAAGTAATTTCCTCCCACCTCCTGAGTAAAAAGATATTAAGCATTTTTGTGGCATGATAGCAGGTTTAAAGCGTCGACCGGCTAAGACAGGCAGCGTTACAAGTGCAAATGAAAGGGGAAGGGGGGAGCGGGGAAGCGCCTACTCGGGCGCTGACGAGGAGGGTGTGATAATTACGTCGTAATTATATTTTATGGGTCATGCGCAGCGACACTTTTAATAAAGGCTTATTAGATTGCTACTTAAATTTTTTTAAAGGGAACTTGCGCCTCCCGCTAAAGGAGTGACATGCATTCAAACCATCACTGGCACAAGAGCTTTCAAAGGTAAAAAAAAAATTATTTCTCTTAAAATAAATTGTTATATTCGGTGAGTGAGTCAAGTAGAAATTTAGGTCAATACCACTGTACCAATGAAAGATATTAAAAACAATGTTTATTAAGAATTATAAAATTTAAGCTGAAAGTTCAAAGTAGAATCACAGGGGCGGAAGAACTAAACAAAATTTATAAAGCTAGCGTTTGGATCTAAAACTTAAAAAGAGATTCCTTTTCGCTTTAGATACCGTTCTCGGGAAAACCTCTTTAGATCTTCCTTTTTTTTTATTATACTAAAATTTTGTGTTTCTTCGCAATTTATGCCAGATGGTGTGGGTGAAATATTCTAGCGTAAAGATAATAAAATTTTTTAAAAAATTAACATTCATGGTAAAGAGTAAAATATTTCCTCAAGATAACTCTAAGTTACCGAAGATAACGCGGGAAGTAAGCCGGATAAACATTTTTCTATGGTATCATTTACTGAATCGAACTTAAGAAGATCATCCCTTATGGCTAATTCTAAACATGAAAGGATTTAAAAATAAAAGTAGAATGAATAGTATAATAATTACCATCAGCAAATGGAATAACCTCCAAAACTTGTCTTACCTTTTGTTCGAGCTTAATAGCCTCTTTTGAACTAACATCGGGGAATTTATTTTTATTAACACTTTCAAAATTCTTTAGTGATGGCGTCTCTAAAGTTATAGAATAAAAAAACATTTTTTTAAACAAAAATAAAACTTTTATTTCCCTTAAAAAGAAACTTCCCACCTTTACCTGAGCGAATAAGCTCTTTAGAAATTAATTGCTTGTAAGGCAGAAAGCCAAAAAAAGACTGCTACGCAATAACAATACTTATATAAGAAGGGGAGTACTAAAAGATAGTTATGACCTTATTCTCCGAAGGTTTAATAGAGGGGAGAAACAGAAATTCGTACTGCATACAAGGTGCAAACAAAAGGAGAGCAGTAGCCCACCATGGATTTAAATTATTTACACAAAAGTTACATAAAAGCCAATTTGAAGTATAAATCCTTTAAACAAATTCAGTATTAAGTTCTATCTTAATATTTCTAGTATTGACCCGTTACTTTATTACAACAGGCACTACCAGAGAAGCGCTTTCAAAAAATAGGTCTTCTAGTGGTAAATGACTACTTCCAGGACTAAACTTTTCGCTACTTTTTTTCTTCTCAAAAAGGATGCAGATATTTTTCTTCTTTGAACGCCTCAACTGTTTTTCAAAGCGCAGTTTGTTTGCTTATTAAAAATTAAACAGATAATAGTGCAAAATCTAGAAGGTAATACTTTTAAAAACAGGGTCCTCGTAAAAAACTAAAGCGTTCAAGTAAATCCGAGAGGCTATTGCATCTAAAAAGCTAACTGAATTACATATAAACAGTATCCTAGGCGGAAAAGGTTTTGACCCTTTATTTAATCGAGCGGTGATTCCAAACAGTGGCGCAATTAAATTGTAATAAATTCTGCAAAAAATAGTTTTTAATATTTTATTGAAGCTAAAACAAAAAGTTTAAAAGTTACATTGTATAATCATTACTCTATAAATAACGAGTTGGGGGTAGACAGTTTTAACAAAGTTAAAGAGAATGCAAGTAAGAAAACTCTTGAAATTAACAAAAGTAGCCCAAAAGGAAGGTAAATTAGAAAACTACAGCTTGAAGGAAAAATATTCATGCTACGTACTTATAACTATGGAACAGTAGAAACGATAATACCAATCGTAAATTTTTCCTCAAAACAGAGTAGTTTAATAGACATGGCAATTTCATTGGTGCTTTTCCTAGCTTAGTTTCAATGTGAAGCCAAGCAAGCCTGTCCACCTCCGAGTACTCACTTACCACTTATGCGTAAACTTGAAAGCGAGTTTACCGAAGAAAAGCTTTATATTTGCGTAAATGAGCTAAAAAAATTATCATTATATTCTAAAGTAAAAGAGGCTTTTATATGTATTAATCATGGAGATACCCTAAAATTCTGTGGTAATGGAGATTCGCAGGTTATGGTTAAAGCAACTTGGTCCCAAGCTGACTTGGTTCTTAGCAAAAATCGCACCTACACAGTTAGTTATAGTACAGATGGGCATCAAGTATATCCTATTGAAAGGAAAAATATGCTTTTTGAGCGTTTATCTCCCTGTGGAAAGTTTCTTGCTATCGCGCGTGAAACTAGTTTTTTATTTATTTCTTTATGTTTTTGTATTTATGTTAATTTATTTTAAAACTACTGTCATAGTACAGAGATAAGTTTATGTAGTTTTACTCAAATATATATTTTATATAAGCTATAGGTTTAGAAGATAAAAAGAGGGGATATGCATTTGATATTTGGACTGAAAATAGGTTGAAAGATACAATTATTGCAACCTGCGAGCTGCACGGCCCAATATGTAAATTAAAAAAATAACTCTAAAAAATTAATTCCTTTTTTTATAATCAACAGATACTGATTCATTTTTTGGCTGTTTTAATTGGTCGAGTGACTCAAAAAAAATAGTTTACTGTGCAGAAAAGAAACAAACCAAGTTTAAGTCTCTGTGGTGGCCTAAAATTGATTTAGCAGGTGTAAAAACGGGTAAGCGTGTAAAAAAATATTTTTAAATTTAAATTTCTATATTAATAAACCAAATTTTACAAGAAGAAAGGCAAGATAAAGAAGACTTCCTTAGTAGGAAGAGTAAATTTCATTTTAAAGAAGATTGGTATCCTTTGTTAACTGCATATAACATTTCGACTTTATTAGTTGAAATTAATATCAGTATTTTACTTTGCTAATATCATAGGGGTGAATTGTACGATAAAAAGGCTTTCGCACGACTATTTGTAGTGGATATTGAGAGGGGCTGCATCGAAGAAGTTGAGGGAATACCGGAAGATCTTTGCAGTGGGGATGCTAGTTGGACTTCTGACAATTCTGGCCTCGTTTTTACGGGAGTGCCTCTAGATGCCTCCTCTAAACGCTTAGGGCTTTTATACTGGTTGGCCTCTGATCTTTGATATCCCCTTGTTACCTCTCATTTTATTGTACTGGCACTTCTGGTCTTCAGCTATAATAGACGACATGGACTATACTTTTTTTCACATTCCACGGAGCAGCACCCATCCTCAAGTGATTATATAATTTAGAAAATTAATTCATAGAAATATTAAATTAAATACTTGACTCGTGCAATATTAGAACAATCTTGATTTTAGTGCAATAGAACTACAAAATTTCTTTTTTTAACAGAAACTCCGCATTTACTGCTTATATAGTGATTTGCAGATTTTCTAAAACTTACCCTTGTGCGTTTACTATAGCTCTCTCTGTGAAAAATTTAACGCCGGACATCTTTGCCTCCCGGTCTGGCAGGTTTAATCCATCTTATGAGCGACTGGCTTTTCTGTTTGTGAAGGAGTGCGTCTCGCATAACACTGCTCACTGCCTCGGAGTGCTGGATTGGCGCTCTAAAGAAATTCTTATAGGTATACGTTAGAATAATCCAGGGTTTATCCTTAGAGGAGCTTATTATAGTTATTTTTTTCATGGCCAGTTCTTGTAAGTTTTTATTGTACCATCATTATACTTTTGTATATCACTGCATTCAAAGTAATATCTCTTTCTTGAGTAGTGCTTGACACTGTCTACACAGCGCCCTACCCAGAAAGTTTTCCAGGCCTTTACGTTACTTCCCTACCTCAACGTTGTTGGGTGCAACTTTCAAAGCAAAAAGAAGCTAGTATATTATTAGCATCCCTACACAAAGAAAATTCACAAACCTCCCCCTTTGCCCCATGTCAGTTTTATTAACCAGTCAGTGGAGGTCTTTATCTGCGGCTCTTTTAGTTGAACTCAACACTTCAACTGTTTGGCGGTGTACAACAAATGCCGCCTCCATATCTTCCCTTCGTACTTCAATTCCATAGATAATTCTTTTTGTAGTTTTACTACCTGACTATTGATGGTTAACATTGGGGACAAATTGGAATAATTAAGGAGATTGGCAATATAATAGTTTATTTTTTCTACTCCTAAAACAAAATTACGCTTAAGGTGCGTTTGATGCGGTAGGCAACTTTTTACTGCTTTCCTCTTCAACGCCCTCGTCTCCTCCAGGCTTGGTGTTATTAAAAGTGAGAAATTTATTTAATGACCAGTTTTAAAGTTCGAAAAACCCGTTGAGGTTACAGATAATTCAAAAGATGAAAGATTGACCTTTGACAGCAAAGCTTTGACCGACCTTGAGCAACTGGGCAAGAGCTTTTTTTATGCTTTGGTTGTTTTGATTATTTAATAAATTATTAAAGATATTAAGTGGGGGATATATCCCGTCTCGTTACCTCATAGCCCTAAAGAAACTTTTGAAATTATTGTAACGTCTCCAAAAGGTATCTTCTTTTGAGTCATGTTATAAATCGGTGTTACTTTCCATAACTTAGGAAAATGTGGACCTTTCCCTTTAATAATCTGCCCGCACGGTGGGCCTCACTCTGCTTATTCTGCGGCATTCGACGAAAGAAACGCCTTCTTAAATAATCTTGGTTACATCGTTTGCTACGGTGTTGCTCTTCTCACTCTCTTTTTTCACCGGAAAATAAAATTGCTGCTTGTAATAGTCAACTATCGAGGATCTACGGGGTTTGGGCTCCACTTTTTAAATTCTCTCGTAGGAGAGTATGGCCGTCTTGACGTGGAGGATGTTCAAGCTGCAAGGGAGTACTGCTGCGCAAATTTTGGTGCGCCTTCACTTTTTCAAATTCTGCTTATTCAAATTCTGCTTATCAGTATCTTTTGCAATATTGTTTGTCTTGATAGTTATTGATTTTAGAAAATTTTCGCCTTACTTTTCTAACTACCTTTATTTTTTAATCCAGATGTAGATAGGAAAAAAGTAGCCATTATAGGCGGCAGTCATGGCGGATGGTTAGGTACAGTATGCTTCTACTGTCATGCGTACATTTCCCAATATTGGTGTCTGGAAGGTGCGCATTGCATAAGCAGATATCCTCAATGCTATCAAGCGTGCGTCTTGCACAATCCCGGTGCGGTGGCTTTGTTTTCCCTCCCCATCGCATAGCTTGTTAGCTTTTATGGTGGTATCCAGTAACCAACCTTGTCGGTCAAGTGGCCACGAGCGATATCCCCGATTGGGCTTACGCTGCCGTGGGATTGCCGTACCGCACGTGCCCGTCCGCTGAGGAAATTTCCCTCCTTTATAAAAATTCTCCTGTTGCTAATGATCTCTCGTGCGTGACTACTCCGACTCTCTTTACACTCGGTTCTTCCGTAACTTCTTCCTACTTTTATAAATACACTCACCTCGGAATTAAGGAGGGAAAGACAGGCGTGTCCCACCTTCACAAGGCCTGCAGCTTTATTATGCACTTTTGGCCCGAAGTGTTCCTGTGAAGGTTTAAATTATTTACAGTTTCTGAATTTTTTTATAGTAAACTCTTTTTGTTTAGACCTTCTGGTACCCCGAAGATTCACATCCGATTGACTCTGTCGACGCGCATTATGACTCTTTAGTCCAGATCGCTTTGTGGCTCGATAAATACTTGTTTCAAGAGCACTAAAGTTTTTTCAAAAAAATGTAAGTTTTAGGGCTTTTTTATATGAATTGTACTCACCAGAGTCATTTATTATCAAATAATTTGTTAATTCACTGTGTAGCTGCTCACTTGTAAAGCGAAGGGGCAACCAGTTTTATATCTATCTCCTTTATGCAATTTTTATAATTATTTATAGAGAAATTAGATAAGGGTTCGCTAGTAGACTGCGTAAATTATCACAAGAGTGAATCGCAATTTTATTAAGTGGTTGGACATATACACCCTGTAGGGTCGTAAATCTTTATTTTTATTTTTTACAGTCTGCTTATATCTTTGTTAAAAGACTAAAATTAAAATAATTAAATATTATTTTGATTAAGAAAAACGCCTGTCGTTTTCGGTAGACAAGGAGCAATAGATGGCACATAGAAGGTGCCAGTCTTACTATAGAAGAGTTATGAATTAATTTTATAGAGCTTTAAAGAGACTTGAATAATAGATTAATTATTTTATTATAACGAGGCAAAACAGGCTTTTTATGCTCTAGGAACAATTCTTTAAAGCTACAGTAGTTATACAATTCTTTACTAATTCTTTTTTTTAATCTGGGAATCCGAGTAATTTTGATTCTACTCAAGGAAAATACGAAGCATACGCGATTTTTCTAATTTTCATTTAGAGCCTCATTATAAAACTCTTGCTTAAGATAAATATAACTTTCTGCCGCGCAAGCAATAAGAGAGCACAAAACGGAAAACAGAACCCTCTAAGAAGTTAAAAAATCTATAATTCACAGTCAAGCAAAAGTAAAATAGTTATGTAGCCTATTATATGCTCGATAGCGTGTTTGAAAATACGTTAGAAAAAAATTATACTTATGATTTTAAAAGCATTATAAACTGGAACAAAGTATAAAACTTAAGAATAATTAAAAAGTAAAGTATAAAGAAAATAAAGTGACCAGCGGGTAGTTTAGTAGATCATTACTTGCGTAAAAGAGGAAGTAGAACACACCAAAACCGGTAACGAGGAGGTTGACTACGAAAAATAATTGTTGTTTGGCGGTCTGAAATAGAAAGGAGGCTTGTAGTTTTTTTTGTTTGAGTAAATTTGCCATAAGAAACAAACATACAAACGAAAAATATAATATTATGTGTATGAAATATAACGTAATAGCAATACGTACTTTTAAATCTTGAAAGTCCATAAGATGTTGTTTACCAATTAGGTTAACGTTGACGTTTCTCGTCATTCTTTGATATTCTTTCTATTATGTGTAAATTATTCAACAAAGATGCCATAATTTTAAATAATTAAATATAAAAGTTTTATAATTAAAGTGATATTCCTAAAGAACATAAAGAGAACAGTTATATTTTTTATAAATATAGACTTTGACTTGCAAAAGCTCTATATATGCTTTTATTTAGCAACAATGTAGTGGGTGGCATTACGTTATTAGATAAAAATTTGCATAAAGTAAGTAGGAATCTCTACGTAAAACTCTCCTTTAAAGTTTTTGTAAAAAGTTAAAAATTCTTAGGTGAAAAAGAAAAGTAATTAAAATGCAAAGCTAACAACTCCCTTCTTTATAAGTTATTGTTTAAAAATTTTAGCGAACTAGAACTCGTATACAGGATAAAAAATACGTCGATAGCCAAGTGAAAACCTCTTCGTTAGTTCTTCTTAAAAGACGTAGTTTGTCTTCGTCGGAGCCCTATTTTAATTTTAGTAGGAACATATAAAGTGTTGTCTAACAGTGTTAGTGTAGTCATACAGAACTGCTCGTTTCAAAGGAAGGAGGTTCGTAAATTTCACTTTGCAGAAGCAACTCAAAAAGATAATAATTAGTTAAGTTTAGAGCTTTAGCACAAAGCCAACAGTACTTTAACAACTCAAAAGAGACTGCAACCTTTGGACATGGTTTATTGCTTATTATTATTATATCCTTAGATATTAATGGGGAGTAATGTATAGCTCGTGTATTAAAACCTAGAGTTAAAATTTTTTGATCTTCAACGTCAACGGTGTTACTTAAACACTCAACTTCTGAAAACTTTTTTGAAAAATGTTCCAGAAAGGTTTGCAAGTTAGAATAGACTTCAGCAACAGTAGTTCCGGAGACTTCAGCAGGGGGTGTGCAAAAAGAATCAGAAGTCGAAATGTTAACATCTTTTTTAAGAAGTTCAAAAAAAGACAAAATTCGAGGTGTTGCTAAAAAGTAAACTTGCATGGTTAAAAACAAACAATTTTGCCACTTTTTTTTTCTTTGTTAGATTTATACCCACCTTATCTTGCTGAGAAGTCCGCAAAAAGAGTTAAGTGGAAAACTGAACATACATATAATCGGCAAAGTCAGGTAAGCAAAAAGGAACAAAAGGTTGAATTTTCCGGCTGTTAGGCTCTCGTGTCTTATATGACTAATGACTGCGCATTTGGTGCTGACATGTTTACTCTTATATAAGTTACAATTCGTAGCAGCTAATCCAGATATCGCGTAAATGCTTTAATTATTTGCATTCTGAGGATTAGATTAAACTTAGCATTTAAAATCTCTCGACAAAAGAATATTAAAATTATGGAGATTTAAAATAAAAGTTTATCAAGAAAAGAACATATAAGAAGCTTCCATTTGATTAGGATGCATAAGAACACTTAAAAAAATCTTAAATTGTCCCAACTAAGAAACTGTTTTGGTATACAAAGTTGATCAGGTATATAAAATAAGTTAATAAGTAAAGTCTACAAAAATCACTCATAGGTACGTATTTAGATTAACAAACTATATCACTAAACTATAGGTCGGATTGTAATATACCAAAAGAAAGTATTACAAACCTATATAGTTTGAGCGGCCTACATTTTAATTTTAGTTTTTATAAAAGGGACAGTATGGTATAGAGCTGGATGATAGTCTAGTACCATACTTTTTACAGTACGAATAATGAATTCCATTTCCTAATTTTTAAATTTATCAATTGGTTGCAGTTTAAGTTACTCTGTCCTTCAAGTTTAGATGACAACCAATATTTTTTCTTTTTAGGTAGATAAAAAAACTTTAATTTGAACAGCCCTATTTGACCGGTATACTTATAGAAAAAGTGAAGTGAGCTTACTTAAAGAAAATAGTGCGAGAAGTTCTAAAAACGCACAAATTGACAAGTTAATTAAACCTATTTAAATGTTTTTGCATTTTTAGCTAGCTCCAAAAAATATTAATTTTAAAAATTTACTCGTGGAGTGGAAAACGACGTAAAAATATATATACTGATGCATATAAATATATAAATACAGCATATAAATTTATCACAAAGCCAAAAATGACAAGAAAACAGGGTATATACGAACCAGATATAGGCTCCCTTTCATTTATGAAATCCGGTTGTTATATTACATAGCTAATCTGTCTAGGAAAAGTTTCTTTATATAGCCTTGTTGAAAAAAGAAGATAACGCAATACTTTATAACGTATTCTGATGTTTCTTTAAACTTTGAACGCGCAAATAATGAGTTTTTATATTAATATTTGTAATATGGGAGTTCTCTTAAGTTGGTTAGTTGCTTTTGCTTTGTTTACTTTTTTGATTTGAACCTATCGTTAAGTACTTAAGACAAAGCAAACAGGAAAGATACAAATTACTTTACAACTAAATTAAAATTAGAGAAAAATTTTATTTTGTTTTCGTGAAATGGGAGAGTTTACCCTAATGACTTTTTGATCTAAAGATGGTATTATAATTTGCTTTAGAGGAAAGCTCCAGAGAGAAATGCATGCAGTTAGAGAATGCGCTATTAATGCTATCAACCTATAAGAAATTCTCCAAGACGCTAAGAGGGTAACATGTCCTGAATAGAATAGGATAAGTTAAACAAAACTAGTGACTAGAAGAGGCTGACTGAAATGCTGAAGAATTTTATTAGTTAGAAGGTAAGGGCTGCCTTTAAGCAAAATTTAATAAATTAAGGTAGGCCAGTGGTACAGATTATTTTAGGGGTCGTCTTTTTTACAAAAAGTAAATTAACGTTAAAGATATAGAAGAATAAAAATATACTATGAAGTGCTATAAGTGAGGTAACAAGGACCGTATTCCAACTTCTGCAGAAAAGTTTATTTTTATGGTACCGGGTATACTGTTAAACAGCTTGTCAGTCTTAACTCAAGAAGAGTTAAAATATTAAACCTTATAAACAGCAAAAAGAAAGGGTAACGAACCCGACTTAGAGAAGCTAACGCTACTGCGAAGTCTCAGATGGGCTATAAGCAGTCGATGGAGTTTTAGTATTCCATAGTGCGGAAAAAAAAATGCGGTGTTCCTCTATGTAAAATCAGGTCAAATAATCTTAAACCTATGACTGCAATATCTTCACACAAGTAACTGCGCATAAGATACCTGCTGCAATAACACATTGATAATAGCAACATCTCTTGAGTATAGTACATAAGAATTCAAGAAAAAAAGGATTTTTTTGCTTATTTTTTTATTACTTGACAACAAAGGCGCTACAGTTTTAATAAGCAAACAGTAGTGAAATTATGAGAGTGTTAAAAACGTATAAGACCTTACCCTGTTCCTTTTTAACATGTTTATAACTAGTATAACTTACTCTTACGCATTAAGTATATGCAGTCTTTAACTCAAACTTTTACTTAAGTGCTCATTTAATCCGTGACTCCTCATTAGAAATCATTTAACTAAAAATGCACATAGTTGACATGATAAAAATATTAAACAAATTCATGTTTTAGTACGATGCATTCTACCTTAATAGTCTGCCAATTAGTATAGAATTAAATTTTAGTCTCGGGCATGATCAAAAAATTTGTCTATAAATTAACTAATAATTATCGTAATGCAGGACTTTTCTTGCAAACTTGTAAAATAAATTGTTGACGGTTCATGCGTTGTTATTATTCTTTTACGTCAACTGCAGATCGAAGACCGGCGATAGAGCAGCTGTATTAACACTTCTTGGTGATGAGTGTGATAATTAAAAAAACCCCTGCAAAAAGCTTAAGGGTGAGAGGAGTAATTCTCTTGTTGCTCTCACTAAATAGTTGTAGCATTGAAAGTGGTTAAAAGGGTTCTAGGTGATTTCTTGTCCTCACGAAAGCGTAAGAGAGTGTGTCGAAGTAACGAAAGGGTCTAGAGTAGGCGATAAATGTCGGGGTCGCGAGTATTGCTCGGCCGACATAGGTTTTTGCAGTAATACTTGCAACCATGGCAGCCTAAGCCTTACCCGACTTGCATTCTTATATTGTCTTATGGTCGTAGTTACTCTAATTATTACCTTTTCACTATTTTTTAGACCTTCCGCTTTACCGATTAGTGAAAAGGAGGGGTTAAGTAACGTATTGAGTCGCAAGTCTTAAATTTTACTTTTGTAAAATAATTTTTGCTCTTATTAATTTATCTTTTTGTATACATCAAAGCCAGCTACCTGCGAAAGGAGCAGTGACTACGGATTCAACTTAAATTAAGAAATGAATATTAGTTGGCCAATATTATATTTAATCAATCACAGCGTATAGAGGATAAATCGTAGTAGTTCATATAATTTGCTCAGTCTAAGATGCACCATATTTTATACTAAAAATTATTACTGACCGAATAAAATTCGCATATAAAACATTTTATTAAATTTAAAAAATTAAAACAGTTGATCGGCAATTCTTTTACATAATTTTGATAAAATTTTTGTGAGCGCACAGAGGATAGTTCATTCGACTAAACTCTATTGCTCTTTTTAACAAGACAAAAATTGAGAAAACAAAGCTCTTTTTTTTATTTTATTTCTCTGTACTATTTAAAATATATTGCTATTGAGTGAAACGCGTTGCTGCAAGTATTTTCTTTGTGTGCGCAGTTAGTTGTGCAAGCCCACAGAAAGGCAATTGCAACCTTAATTTCTCTTTTTATTTAACTAGCAGATCGTCAAGTAGAACGCATCTTAGTAATACCACCTAATTGTTTAGTAATTATATTATTAGAAACTACCTGAGTTCATTTCACAGCTTTATGACACAATCTTAAATTTACAGATGTTCGCAGAAAATTACAAATATAATTAGAATAAAAGTTGCTTCAAAGAGCTTTGATTTTAAAATAAAAAAAATAGCTGGTATGTTTTGTTTTTTTCGTTATCATAACGCCACAGGTGTTAAGAGCAGAGTTACATTTAGATATACAAAGTAAGTTGTCATTTATAACGCGTTGAATTTAGAAATAAAAATTATTTTAAAAAAAATTATGCGTTATTAGGTTATGTTAAATGCTGGTATTGCGAATTATTTGAATACAGGTTGCGATTATACTATTTAGTCGAGATGTAATTGATTAAATCCAATATACGCAATAGGCACTTTTAAAAATTAATCAAAAAACCTATAAAAGTATGGGTGAAGAGGTAAATTTTAAAGTTTAAAACCTTAACCTTAAATGCTTAACTTAAAAAAACCACAGAAATTCCTAATCATAACTTACAAAAAATCTTAAAAAATTTAAAAAACATTAGTAAAGTTATTTCAGCACTCTAAATATGGTTGGTATGATTCACTCACTTTGCGCAGTTAAAGAGGACTGGTTACATCCAACTGAGGGTATGCGCTTTGCGTTTTAATTAATTTAACTTGTAGACTAAATCTATCAAGATTATTTTTAAAATTGGGTATATATATTTATTTTAACTTTAATAAATAAAGAGGACTTGTTCTTTTATTTTTTGGCGTTCATTTAGAGTGTAGGACTGTAAGGAGATTGAACTTTAATAATGTTTAGTGGGCAAGTTATAATACTAATTTCGTATATAAGGCGAACAGGGTATTGTAAATATCTGCAGCTCACAAGAAAATTTCAAACACTATAACTGTTTAACCTTGTTACTTATTGTTTGCAACTATGTTATCCTGGATGATTCTACTTTTTTATCGCTCATTTTCTCCCCAAGTGCTGCGCCCCTTCAGGCTGTCAATTGTTTACTAAAAACCACGGCATTCTATATATACATTAAATACTTGCAATTTGGAGGTTGCGCCCAAGTTAAGAATAAATTTTTAACAAAGGCTATTGATTACGTTTTGTAATAATTGCTTAATCTCTAGCATAGTTTAAAATACTTTTTTAATAAAGCGCATGAGAAGCTTAATAGCTAAAAGTGATATTTTTATGCTTACACAAAAGTCATTTTCACAATAAAAAAAATTTCTAAACTGTGACGGAAATTGAAAAGGAACCTATCAAATTGCAATTTAAAAAGTTTTTTCAAGCGAAAATGTTGCAACCGACTTGGAAAGTTTGTAAGATATTATCTTATATAAACAGTAGATTAATT